CCAACATCTCTCTCCCTCTCTAAAGTGAACTTGGGTAGGGTTTTGAATGACCAATTTGCCACTATCTAGGATCAGCATTCAGCAGTAGAGTGAATGGGTCACTTTCGTTCTCTTTGTTAGGGTTTTTACCAACCAAAAAAAAAAAACAAAAAAAAAAGGAAGAAGAAACCTTTTGGAATTTTGATGGGACAAGAGCTTCCAGCTAGGGTTTTGGGTGAGATCCATTTGCTTCGTTTGGCTGACATTGTTTTTGAGACGCTATAAAATATATTTAAAAATGAAAAAAGAAAAAAAAAAAAGGAGACTGCGATGCTGCTGCTGCCGCTGGTAAAAAGACTTATTAGATCCAGCCAAAACATGCTTCTTGCTCTCTCTCCCATGTGACCTTGCTCCCTTCACACCAAGGTTACTTTTGTCATTTTGGGGACAACAACATGTCAAATAAATTTGCATAGCATATTAACATGTGTCATACCATGCATGCCATTTTGCAAGTGTACTTGTATTTGCATTCACTGTCTTGTTTATGTGTGTCCCAAAATATCATACCTCCTTTTATCTTTATTTATTTTCTCAATTATTTATTTTAAGTTTAATTAAAAGTAAATTGTTCAGGGAGACGGTGTGCATTTCTTTTAAAGGATATTACTTATTGAGATAAGCAGTATATATTAAATTCACACATACTACATGGATGCTAGGACTCGAACCTAAAACCTTACTTTGAGGAGTAATAGCTGTAAACCACTATACTAGTGGATCCTTTGCGGGTGTGCATTTCTATTTGCTATGCAAGACATTTTATTGATTAGTGTGTAAGTTAATTTTGAATACCCAAAATCAAAGAATAATGATATTATGAATGAGACGTCTCTATCCAACCAATTTAACCTTCTTTTAAAAAATCTTACAACTGGGGCCAAAGGCCCAAAACAAAGAAAACAAACTAGAAAAAGCCCAAAATAAAAGGCAAATTAGACACAAGCCCATAATCAAAGGTTGAAACTCAGTTTAGCCAGAGAATTCTATAGTGAGGGCCTTATTCTTTATATGAGGTCTTATCTTTTAACTGTTTAATCGAATTAATTAGTCGTTGAATTAAATTAGTTAATTTGTCCAAATGTTAAGATAATGCCCTCAATATAGAATGACTACAATTTAGCCTGAGCTATGAACCACCATTGATCATCCATGGATGGATGGATGGATATCCTTATGACACTCCATCAACTTATGTGATATGCAAATCATTTTGGATTATTGATCCCATTCAAATGAAAGGAATTTCATCCAAAAATAGAGAATGATTAAAATATTCTAAGGTCCCAACCAACGATTCCTCCTGCAATTTCAACCCATCAGCCATCAATCTAAAGCCCAATATATGACAAACATGTCAGTTGGTCAAATATTCAGCTTTCACTTAGATGGAGAAAAGTCCCGGGTTCAAATCTCATGCTTGACATAAAAAGATAAATGAAAGCCAACACGGTCAAGCACGGTAGAAAAAGGTCTTAACTTGTATATTATAGTTCCCTGGTTCAAACTTTCATGACATCATAATTATGTGTGTGTGTGTGTGAGAAATTCCCTTCCCTTTTAATTTAGACTATCAAATGAAAAGACCCATTAGAATTCCAGCAACATAAAATATTTCATGATTTATGTTCAAGTAAATTTATTTCTTGCATGCAATGCCTTAAATTGATATAAGGTTTGCAAAGTTCTTAGGGGTGGTTGCGGTTCGGTAACCGCGAATTTTTACTCAAACCGCAAACCGACAGACTATTTGCGGTTTGGTGATTTTTGAAATCGCAAAACGCGGTCGGTTACCCCGAATTAGCGGTTTAAAACCGCTAGTTCTCAAACATTCACAAAAATATAAATTCACAACCTAAATAAATAAATACACAACCTCAATTTCTCAAACATATATAAATTCATAATCTCCTCAACTTCTCAAGTATTCACAACCTAAGAAAATTAAAGTTACAATTCCAAGCATTCTAATTCCAAATCATTTAAAGTTATAAACCAAAAGGAAAATACAAAGCAAAATGAATTAAAGTTACAACAAAAAAGAAAAATCCAATTCAAAGTTAATTAAAGTTACAAACTAAAAGGAAAATGCAATGCACCAATGCTACAAACTAAAGTTACAAACTCAAGTGTTGGTGGTGAGTGAATTTGAAGAACCCTGTTGTGTTGTTTGAGCACCAATGTTATTTACAAATAAAACAACATAATTTAGTACATTTTATTATAAGAAGAAGCATAAATAACATTAGTATAAATAAACTAATTACTTACAAGTTGTCATATGTTCCATTTCCTTGTAAAATTCAACTTCATCATCCGTGTGGCTATACTTTGCGGTTTGCGGTAACCGCAAGTTTTTAAAATCAAATACCGCAATTGCAACCGCAAATGCGGTTCGGTTCTTAATACCGCAAATGCAGTTCGGTTTACCGCGATTGCGGTTTCATTGCGGTAAATTGTTAGTTGGTTTTTGCTGTTTTTCGGTTTTTCGGTTTAAAATGCCACCCCTAAAAGTTTTTATGCCCCCTTTTGTAAAGTATACATTTGTTCCTGGATCCAGCTGGAAGTCTCAAAAATGATCTTTCAGTTGTCAATTTTTCTTTTTCTAAATTCACTCCACAAATGCAATATTTTTAATTGGCATTAATCCAATTATTTAATATTTTTAATTGGCATTAGTCCAATTATTTAATTTGTATAAGATTTTGATAAAGATCCCTCAAGCAAATAAACTTGTGGGTTCCATGATGAGGGAGCTTTGCTAGACTGTCTTTTAAGCCAGGCCACCAGATTGCCAGACAGACCTTTGGATTCCACAGAATTTCTAGCTCTCCTGGACAAGTAAGTAATCAATTCAAATCTAAGTTTTTTTTATTTAAAAATATTGAGGGAGATGACTTTTTCTCCATGGCTTCAGTGGCTGCACCCCCATTGAATTTGGTGATGTGAACATGATTAAGAAGAGATGGAGAATTGTAAAGATAATTAAATAATGTGCTTGATTATTTTAATGTAAAAATTAATACAAATTGGTCACAATTTTTTTTATTTATTTTATTTTTAAATATCCAGATCATGAGAATAGATCACTTGAAAGAATTGACGATAACCGTTCATCTAGCTGAGAGAGTATTATTATTATTTTTTTTAAAAAGAGTAGAAAAGAAAATAGAAAAAATGGAAATATGGAAAAGGGAGTTTCAAGAGTTGTGGGTCGATCCAGCTTTTCACCCATTTGAAACGGGCCATTCTCCTAGCTTTGTAAAAAGAGGGATGTTATGGACACCCAAACATCATCTTTGGACACCCATGACTTAAGACATTACCATAGTAAAATGAACGAGGCATCCTCAACAACGCCGTCCAGTTCATCAACACCGTTGTCGGTGGGCACTGAAAATCCGGTCAAAAGGGTCAACCCACAGCAGGAGCTAAGCTAAAATACGACCCGAATCGGACCATCCCATTGAATGGGCTGAGCCGTACTAAAGCCGGACAAATTGGTGGACCACGGACGTAGATCTTACCTTCTACCTAATTTCAAGGTCCAACCAAATCTTTGAGATGAGCCCAATAGGCCCTTCCACCATTAATTCACACTGAAAAAGCGAAAGCCATGATATACCTACTAACTGGGTCCACATGGTCCAGAGACTGGTTTTCTTTTATAAGATATATTTTGTTTTCCATTGGTTTCCTTTTTTCTTGTTGAAAATAGTGTTGTTGGTTTGGAGTCTTGGACTGCAAACTCTCATTAAAATTTGAGAAGGGTAAAGAAAGAGTCTTGATTTACAGTCTTGATTTACATATTTGATAGATAGAGATGGGAGATTGAGGACATTTTGCATAGAAAGTTATAAACTTTCAATTGGGTATATATAGCAAATCGACACCAGTGACTTGCATAGACTTGTGAATATTTTTTTGTCACCAACTTCATGATAACCATTTGACAAGTCACAAAACTACACGAACACTCTCTTTCTCCATCTACACAGTTTCCCTTCCCTTCCCCTCTCTCTCTCTCTCATTGGAAAACAGCTTAAAAGATTCTTCCTATGCAATCATTCACCCAAATTAGCCCAACCGTTGAACCCCGCGTAGACTCTCTCCCTCTCTCTGTATCTATCTACCTCCGTCGCTGTCTGTCTATCTCTCTCTCTCTCTCTCTCTCTAGTTTCGCTGTTTCTGAGAAGGTGGCGAAGATCACAGAGAAGCTCTCTCCTCCCATTATACCTTTCAATTAATGTTTTCTCCAACCACCCATTTGACTCATTTCTGTAATTCTTTTCCACAGGGACAAGACAAGAAAGCCCCAAAGACTCACTTTCAATCCAATTCCTTTTTGTCAAAAAGCTAACCCTTGTATGACGATTTGAATATGGAATCAAAGAGTTTCTGACCATTTGACCGATTGGTTTGATTCTGCTGAACGATAAATCAGAACGACCCAGATTGGAAGATCAAGCGAGCTCATGCCCAAACCTCTGGGACTATATCTGTAGAAGGAACCGAGCTTTCTGAGGCAGGCCCCGAGAGGACGAAATCGAGCATTTGGGGCCGAACCCATCTGACCCTTTTGGTTGCAGTTTCAGAGGAAGAGGACATCAGAGAGGCCTGATTGGAAAACGGCTCAGATTCAGAAACCCTAGTTCTTGGGTGCAATCAATCTGAAGAGGCAAGGTATTCCCTTTTTCTCTTCCCTTCGATTCAAAGCTGATGAAAAGGAAAGTAAGAATTTTGGGTTAGACTCAGATGCGGGAGTGCTCCAGAAACCCTAGCCCTAATTTGCCTTGAGAGTGCAAGTCCTGTGGTTGTTGTTTTCATGGAATCCCCATTTTCAAGCGTAGTTTTTGTGGTTTTGGGGTTTACTATTAGCTTATGTGCTCTTCTTGTCGAGTCTCAATCTCAACACTTATCGCCACCTCCCCCGTCACCACCTGCACCACCTCCATCTTTTTCTCTTCCCTTCGATTCAAAGCTGATGAAAAGGAAAGTAAGAATTTTGGGTTAGACTCAGATGCGGGAGTGCTCCAGAAACCCTAGCCCTAATTTGCCTTGAGAGTGCAAGTCCTGTGGTTGTTGTTTTCATGGAATCCCCATTTTCAAGCGTAGTTTTTGTGGTTTTGGGGTTTACTATTAGCTTATGTGCTCTTCTTGTCGAGTCTCAATCTCAACACTTATCGCCACCTCCCCCGTCACCACCTGCACCACCTCCATCGCCACCGCCTCCACCACCTCTATGGCCACCGCCTCCACCACCGCTATCGCCATCGCCTCCACAATCTCCGACCCCGCCACCTCCGGAATCTCCGACCCCGCCATCTCCGAACTCCCCATCTCGACCAGATTCTTCGAATTCACCATCTCCACTAGAATCTCCTGGCCCGCCACCACCTGCTCGCCCGGCAAATCAGCTCAATTCCAAGAATGATCAGAAGAGACTGCCACCTCCCTCACATAGGGGGCCAAGACCGACCAATAATCGCCGTCCGCATCCTCCACCGCCTCATCCTGGCCACAAGTACAATGCAGGGAAGAAGATTGGGCTGTTGTTTGTTGGTATGGCTGCCATTCTTCAGATTGGTGTGATTGGGTTCTTGGTTTTCAAGAGAAGGCAGCTGCTAAGAGTGAAGGATAGATATGAGACTTGTTCTTGAATATTTTAGTTGCAGACTTCTTACAAATTCTTTTGTTTCGCTGAGAGCTATGTAGTTGGGGCTACGAGTGGATTGGATATTCTTCAATGAGCATATCATAGTGGGGCTTTTAGGGAGTTATGATTCTTTGGTGAGCGGCAGGCAGTATATGAATCACGAACAGATCGATATGTTGTGAATGGATCTGGGGATTGGTGGCTGCTCTGTTTGGCCCCCTTGCGGTTGCTCTGTAAATTGGTTATTGTTGCTTGGAATTTTCTTCATGTTTCTTCAATTTTCTGTTGATTTTTTTGTTCTTTAGCTTTGTTTACACGGCTTATAATTTAAAGCAGAAGAAACCATCGTAGGATTTGTGTTTTGAGCTGATTACCTTTTCTCATTTCCTGCTAACTTTAACCCTCTGACTGTATAACAATGTTAGAAATCACGGAAGAATTACAATGACAGTGTCAAGTTTTCTCTCTTTCTATGAGAGTGATGACAATATCAAATTTGTGGGTTGCATATACAAGTTATTGACATTGACTGCTGCAATACGCATTATGGTATTGGCATCAATGATTTTGTGGGTTCATATTGTGATCTAGTCTAGTTTGTGTTCTATATATCAATACTCTGACTTTCACTGCTGAAATACACATTATAGTTTTGTCTGAAAACATATCCAAATGTTGTTTTGATGCTCTGATTTCATTTTGGTACATTTATCAGTGGTGTGTGCTGACTTTTTGCATGACTATGTTGGACAGTAGGAGGAATTGCCAGGCATTCTGGTTTTTGTTACATCTTAGCTCTTTGTGCTGATTGTAGAATATGAATCATACCAAAACTATTTTTCCTTGGTCTTCTGAAAGTGTTTTTAAAAAATAGGGAAAATTGTTCCCTTTCAGTTAGCTTTTAGAACTGCATCTGCTGAATGCCCTGCAAAGAGGTTTATGGTGAAAGATGCTTGGAAGAACATTCACCAGTGAAGCAGTATCATCATTCACTTCTCCTACATTCTGATGATAATGATACAGATTTTTGCCTGGAATCAGTAGTTTTCATGTACTTTTACTGTTGACGAGACTTGTTCTTATAAGCATTTCCTTTTTGCTCAGATTGTGGGAGGAATACTGCGTCCTTCCCCTTTTGGGAGGGTCGCATAAGTAATCTCTTTTATTTTTTGTGGTAAAGTTTATGTATAAAGTTCGTCTTTTATCTTCTTCCTTTTTTGGTAAAGTTTATGTATAAAGTTCCATCTTTTATCTTCTTCTTTTTCTGTTTTTGCTAAAGTTTATGTACAAAGTTCATCTACTATCTTTCGTTGCTTGCTTACTTCCATATATTGAAATTAAGGGATTCTCTCAACTTGTAAATGCTATATTATGAGCTATGACTTCGATTCTATTTGCTTATCATAGGGATGAGAAAGACAGCAGCTATCGAGTCTCCTTTCAATAGCTGCAAACTGATGACCAATCTCAGGAAGTTGACTTCCCTCTGAGTTAGAGTTACGCAAAGACAGCATAATTTGGCCCTTGCGTACAGTATATAATTTGTTTGACTATGTCAGTTTCCTTTGTTGTAACTTGGAATTGATGGACAAAGTTTGGCCTATTTTTTCTACCAAAAAAATAGAACAGTTTGGCTTTTGTGTCATAATATAAAATCAAAAGCAAGACGTCATGTTATGCGATTTTTCAAGACAAATGATCAAATCAGATGGAGTATTAGACCAATTAAATGGTGTATCAGGTGTTATTCTACAGTGAGGGTCTTATCTAAGGCCCTTAGATGAGACCCTATCTCTTAATTGTTGAATTAAAATAATCAATTTGATTAAACGGTTAAGAGATAAGGTCTGATTTAAGGAACTTAGATAAGCCCTCACTATAGATATCAGAACATTGAAGTGGTGTTCATGATCCATCCAATATGATATTTTCAAGTGCTTGTTACGTTTGACTTGATATTCTGAATGAAAAGTATCAAATGCAAATGCTCTCCTTTTACGTTAATTTTGATTTCAACTTTTCCTTCCAAAAGATACTTCAAAGAAGCCTGAAGGCAAATAGCTCAAAGGGAAGAGGCTAGGCCCAACAAACAGAAAGCAAAGGATCGGAAAAGCCACCCCAACACACAAA